AACTTGTGTCTTGATGAGTGTATGGACGCTGACCTACACAGTTTGGAAGTAACTGCAAAGTCTGTATAGTGTCATTATGCAGATTCCTCCTGCTTACCTTGAATGTTATTCATTCATCAGTAAGGACAGTTAAGTTTAACAGCCGTGAACAGCATTCAGGTGTTGCCACTGTCTTTTTAAAACCCTGTGTTGACGCCCACAGGTGTCCAACAACCTGTTCATGAGTATCAGAAGTGGGACGTGTCACAGACATGAAGTTATTCTCTCAATAGTGGGGGCCATGTCAGGAACATTGACTTGCAATACTGGGTTACAGTAATGTGATTTTTGAGGCTGATGGTGATAAGAGTGCTAAGCTATGTGATGGCTGAAATAAAAAAGTGTCCTCATCTCTGTATTAGGTATGGCAGCATTGCTTAAGCAGAAACTCACATAGCACATCTCGCTTCTTCAAATCTCGGCTCTTTCTGACCCTTGGACACCTTGATATAATGTATGTATTTACATTAGTAATTCATTTTACACATAATTTGGTAATAAATTAATTTAAGCAACAAATAATCTGAAGAGCTGAAACTGTGTCTTTGTGTTTGGTGCCTGAAGATTGACACATTTACATATTTACTCCAATAATTAAACCAATAAATACAAAGTATTCATTAAGTATTCTCGTTAAAGATCAGTTTCCTCACTCCCGTGTCATGTTAACCAGAGTGTGCCAGGTGGGAGTGTGACATTTTCCCTGCCATGCAAAGCACTGTCCTACAGCAGGTTTCCTGCCTCTGGTAAAAACGTGTCAGCATTTGTTCTTTATATAAAATACAAAACATTTTTAGTGTAGTTTCGTTGTGTTTTCTTTCTACAGCATCTGAATATTTGGAAGGCCAAGTGAGAATGACCTGTGGGTGGGTTAGGGTATTTAGGGTAAATAATGGTTAATATTGTGCTTTACAAACTCATTACTGGATCTCACCCTCTTATTTGTTCTTGTTTTCTAGGAGCTTTACTTTATAAGAACACAAAGGAGCAGAGGAAAGATGGAGAGGAAAAGGACAGAAAACCAGAATCTGGTATGATTTTGATTCTATATGATGAGTATATGTCGAACATTATCATTCTCTAGCTGTTGAGAAGCAGAATAATTACACATATCGGGCATCTAGTGGTGAGAGGGGCATGTTTCTATGTGTTTCTCTGTTTCAACTAATGTGTGTTTGTGTGTGTGTTTGGTGGTTACTCCTTTTTATGTAGTGTGAGAAGAGGTTGAGGGTGTGCGTGGCAACCTGCAACAGAGCGGACTACTCCAAGCTGGCCCCCATCATGTTTGGGATCAAATCCCACCCTGAAGAGTTTGACCTGGAAGTCATGGTGCTTGGCTCACATCTCATTGATGACTACGGGTAAGACAAGGCGGCTTCTAGAAAAACTTGTTGCAGACGTCCCAAAGCGAGATAGCATATGAATATTTTAAACACAATATAATCCATACTCGCAAGCACAGTCTATTTGGGTTTAGATTTGCATTCATTTTGAAACTATTATTCCTTCATTCAAGCTTTCCTTTTATTAATTAATGTATTTTTCCCACTCTGCAGGAACACTTTTCGTATGATCGAGCAGGATGACTTCGACATCGGCTCCAAGCTCCACACCATTGTGAGAGGAGAGGATGAGGCAGCCATGGTGGAGAGTGTTGGGCTGGCACTTGTGAAACTCCCTGATGTCCTACAGAGGCTGCACCCTGACATCCTGGTCATCCATGGTGACCGTTTCGACGCTCTAGCTCTAGCAACTGCTGCAGCGCTGATGAACATTAGAATACTTCACGTGGAGGGAGGAGAGGTGAGGAGGCAGGGCTCGAGCATATATTATTTTATCTCGCACTACAGAGTATGTCTGCTATTGTACTTTATACAGTGTAGGTGGTTATACCTTTTTTTTAAATGTACCTTTTTAAAGTGCCACAGAATACAACAATGGAAGCAAACACCCATACCCACACACATTGCATAACCTCTTTAGTCTTTCCTATCTGACTCCCCTGTCCGTAGGACTCTCTGGTGTGCAAGACCTTGCAGTACTTTTTTTTTACCAAATGACAAATACATTAACGTCTCTTCTCTCCTGTCCTGATATTCCCAGGTGAGTGGTACGATTGATGACTCAATCCGCCACGCCATCAGTAAACTGGCACATTACCACGCTTGCTGCACACGCATGGCAGAGCAGCACCTCATCGCCATGTGTGAGGACCACTCTCGCATTCTGCTGGCTGGCTGCCCTTCATATGATAAGCTGCTGTCAACGCATCACAGAGAGGACTACATGGATATTATCAAGAGCTGGCTGGGTGCGTGGAGATACTGTCAGGGGACAGAAATCTAATGTGAGACATCAGAGTATATTTGTATGTTGTGTGTTTTTTATTCATGTTGCAGGTGACAAGGTGCAGGAGTATGACTACATAGTGGCTTTGCAGCACCCAGTTACCACTGACATCCAGAAGTCCATTAAGATATATGAGCTGATGTTGGATGCCCTGATCTCCTTCAACAAAAGGACCCTCATCCTCTTCCCTAACATTGATGCCGGTTTGTTTCACTATTGCTTTAGTTCCTTCCTGTTTCTCCAGGCTCTGTTGTCCTGTGTATGTGAGTGTTTTGTTAGTAGTAGTAAAGTAGTAGTAAGTAAAACTAGGATCACAAGGATTAGGGCATTTTGGGATTTAAGATTGTTGTATAGTTGATTGAATAAATGCATCTGTGTCACTTGAACCCTCCCCTTACTATGTAAACAGGAAGTAAAGAGATGGTGCGTGTGATGCGAAAGAAGGGTATCGAGCAGCACCCCAACTTCCGGGCAGTGAAGCACATTCCCTTTGAGCAGTTCATCCAGCTGGTGTGCCACGCCGGCTGCATGATTGGAAACAGCAGCTGTGGGGTACGAGAAGCCGGTGCCTTTGGTACGCCTGTCATTAACCTGGGAACAAGGCAAACTGGCAGAGAAACAGGTAGAACAGGAAACAAGATCATATTTACGAGCTGCCTTTGTCATAGTTGTTTTTGATTTCTCCACTTGAAGAATCTGCCTCAGATTTATTATCTTAACAACTGATGACATTTCCCTCTCTGCCAGGTGAAAACGTTCTACATGTCAGAGATGCCGACACTCAGAATAAGATCTACCACGCTCTGGAGCTGCAGTTTGGAAAGCGATACCCCTGGTATGACTAGTGTTCTCCCTGTCCATCTCACTGGGTCTTGGTCTTTGTCCTCCCAGTTTTCCAGAAAAGTTTTAATTGCTGTTTTAGTATAAGTTATTTTTTTCTGCCACATTTTGACAATTCAAGAAGGAGCAGAATATGATTTAGATTACATAAATCTACAATGAACACAGGAATTAATTTTGCATCTACCACTGGTTTTGCTAATTGGACTTTATTTTTTTTTATTTTTTTACTTTAATTAGTTGGCTCACATTAAAGTTGGCATCTATATTCTCCTCTAAAACCTTCATTAAAGAAATGAAATGTAAAAGATAATAAGAATATGAAAGGTGTCCAGTCTTCCTTAAAAGAAGACAGCTATATAACTTTATTAAATGGGCCACCTGTCTTGCAGATTTTCTTCATTAGCCTTAAAAAGGTGTTTAAAAATCAAAGCCTCTGTCTACTACACAGGATGTATTCTGTTCTGAAATAAAGGTAAACAGTTGTTTGTGATAATGGATCACCAATAGACCTTCTCTATTATGTCCATTGAGGTGTGATTATTAGTGTAACACTTGTAGCCTGTAGAGGTCTGTGTAACAATGATGATCTGCCTCTAGTCGATCACGGAAATGTTGAATTTAAGTGTAGAATTGAGGCCTGTTATTACTTAGAAGCCATGTATCCATGTTTACACCGTACAGATCCTAAAATGTGTTTTTAAAAAGTAGATGAATGATATACACAGGTACATTTCTGTTTCCCCTCAGTTCTAAGATTTACGGTGATGGCAACGCAGTGCCTCGTATTATCAAGTTTTTACGTACTATTGACCTGGATGAGCCCCTCCAGAAGACTTTCTGCTTCCCCCCGGTGAAAGATTCCATCTCCCAGGACATCGATCACATCTTGGAGACACAGAGCGCCCTGGCTGTTGACCTTGGAGGGACCAACCTGAGAGTGGCCATCGTCTGCATGAGGGTAGGCTGCATAGACTCTGTAGTCCTTTTGACATAGAAGTCACTGGATTTTTATGAGCCTAAAATATTAATCTTCACTTTTCTTTCTACTTCACTTCTCTGTCTCTCCCCCCCTACCTCCCTCTCCGTCCAGGGTAACATAGTAAAGAAGTACACTCAGCCCAATCCAAAGACCTACGAGGCCAGGATGCAGCTCCTATTAAAGATGTGTTTAGATGCCATGCGGGACGCAGTCGGCCTCAACTGTAGAATACTTGGTGTTGGTATGAAGAAAAACACTCACATTCCTTAATGAAATACCGTTATTATGCTGTCAAAAACGTTATAGAGCAATCATCTAATAGCTCTCGCTCTTCATCTTAGGGGTGTCTACAGGCGGACGTGTAAACCCACAAGAAGGGGTGGTCCTACACTCAACAAAGCTGATCCAGGAGTGGTCCTCAGTGGACCTGAGAACGCCCATCTCCGACGCCCTGCACCTACCCGTCTGGGTCGACAATGATGGCAACTGTGCTGCGTTGGCTGAGAGGAAGTTTGGCCACGGCAAGGGAGTGGAGAACTTTGTCACTGTCATCACAGGAACAGGTGAGAAGTTGGGATTTTCCTTCATACAATCAAATGTTTCTTCATTATCAGTGTATTACCAGTGTTTTAATGTAATGAAACCGTCATAATGCTAGTTATTCAAAAAGAAAGGCTGTGGTTTATAAGGAAGTCTTTTAGAATTTCTACTAAAATTGTGTAGTTTCGCATAATAGTAGATCATTGTAGATTATCACAGTGCTTTTCTGTCGCTATTCAAATCGCTGTCTGAAAATTGAACTTAAGAAGACCTGTATCATGAATTGAAGCAAATTGTGATCATAATGGCCTTATTTGAAAGTGATTGATATGCGTGTACTGAACAGACAAACCAAACCCTGGCTGTAGAGAGGGCCTTTCGGGTTTATGGCAGCCACCGTAGTTTCATACTTTGTTGAGCCGAGGGGTTCACACACAGACAATCTGAGGAAGTAAATACTTTGACTCTGTTTGTAGGTATTGGAGGAGGGATTATCCATCACAATGAGCTGGTCTATGGCACTACCTTCTGCGCTGCAGAGCTCGGGCACATCATGGTTTCATTAGAAGGCCCGGAGTGTTCGTGTGGCAGCAGAGGATGCATAGAGGCCTACGCGTCCGGCATGGCTCTGCAGAGAGAGGCCAAAAGGCTGCACGACGGTGAGTGTTTGTTTTATTTTGTATAAAGCTTCAGTGAATGCGATGAGACTCTGTTACAGCCATAAGATTCAGAGAGCAGCTGAGAAAGGTGTTTCTTTGAAAACCCTGAAAACAACTTTCACTAAGTGAGTGACTTCACTGAAACAACAAAGAGTAGATAATCACTGACTGTTATTGAGGTGGTCTTCAGTGGTAATGACAAGTTAATTAAATGTAAATCCTTACCACATCTCAAAGGGCTTCACACCATCATTCATCATTTACATACATACATCTGACCTGTGTGCTTTATGTGTCTGTCAGAGGACCTGCTGAAGGTGGAGGGGATGGAAATGAAGCTTTCAGAGCCAATCACCGCTGCCCACCTCATCAACGCAGCAAGACTGGGGAACTCCAAAGCCGACGCTGTTCTGAACAAAGGTCAGAGCACAAAGCAAGCACACACTTCAAACCCAAACTAAATAGTGCGTTTAATTACATAACTGGTTATATAACCTGCTGTCTGTCTTCTTCCATTCTCCACAGCCTCCACAGCACTAGGTGTGGGCATTGTTAACATCCTCCACATAGTGAACCCTACGCTGGTGATTCTGTCTGGAGTCCTGGCCTCTTACTACCAGACCCCAGTGCAGCGCATCATCTCTGAGAGAGCGCTCTTCTCTGCCCAGAGCATCAAGGTTCTCACATCAGACTTGGAGGAACCTGCTTTACTTGGAGCAGCTAGCATGGTGTTAGACTATGCAACCAGAAGGATTTATTGAAAGACATTGTCCTGATTTACTTAGGACTGCTACCAACAAGATGACTGCCAAACTTAAAGTAGTACCTGTGCGGCCCAGATAGATATATAAGCATATCTAGGGGATACATTTTGAAGGCTGGGGTGAAAGACAATGCATTCTAACAAATCATGTGTTTAGTTTTATTAAATATTTGTTGATGGCTGCAAGAATGTAGTTTTTGTTGTGGTGTCCACAAAAAAATACAAGTTCTCAAGCTTGTGAGAATCATACTTTCACCAGGTCCAGATTCCCAACCTGGGATATGCATAAAGTGGGTCCTGTGGTAAGACAGAAATCCCACAACTTTTGCTGATATACATAGTTGGAGGTTCATTTAAGAGCTATTGAAGAGCTTTTCTTGAGCAATTGAGCATCAACCTTTTGAGTTAAACCAGCAAAGCCATCTTCATTGCAAAATTAACCATAACAGGGTAAGAACTCACTCCACTAGTCGACCTTGTAAGTCCTTTTTGGTTTGGCTGGAAAAGTCTGTCAATCAATAGAAAGCTTTGTTTAAGATTGTGACCAAAGATTTCTGAAACATTTCCGCTGTGGCTTCCTGTTTAATTCTTCCTTAATTGTTGAGAGAAGGGTAACTGACAAGTTTAAATGTTACATTTCATGTTTTTCTATAAAAAAAACAAAATATTTAATGTTCGAGGGTTCTATTAAAGATGGTGGTTTGTGTAGTTGGTGTCTTGGGAAGGCTTTAGGTCACTATAGTGAAAAATAGTTCTGTATTGACTTATGTTGACATTGATGAAATGTTAAGACAGCAATCTGCTTTAAGCATAATCAGCTGCTACAATAGATGAGGGCCCAGAGGGGGAATCTTTTGCCTGAATCAGGTTTTTTTTTTTTACATGTCATTAGTGGACTTTGAAGAATTTGAACTGATTTTGAAACAGCTTTTCTTCATGCCTTCCGAAAACATATTTGACCTAATAAAATAAATGTATGTAGTTTGTATGTACTATTACATACTGTATTGTACATTACATGCTAATTTCTTTGTATTTCCTTTTGGTTTATGTCCAAATATATACACAAGTTTTGTTTTAGATATACACAAGAAGTCAAGCGAGGATATGGATGATTCTGTAGAGACCAAAAGTAGTTTTCCCATTACAGAGTTTACTTTTTAACCTGCAACATTTTTCATAATATGAGTCTACTGGATGTTTAAACTGAAATGAAGTAGCACATAACAATGTTTATGGAAAAAAGGACTGTAATGGGAACTTCTATGTTGGACCTACAACAGAGTTTCAGTATCTGAATCTTCCACTATAGTCCCTACTGCTAAATTAAAGTCAGTCTGTTGTCAACCCAGTCCCTTCAATACTATAATAAATGTTCCTCACCATTATTTTAATGATTGATTTTTTTTTGCCTGAATTACAATCATAAAAGATTGGGTTACAAAAAATTAAAGATTTTTTTTCTTTTCTTTTTTTATTAATTAATTCCCATCAATAAGTTATCTTGAGTGTTAACTCAGTTCAAAAATTGCAGGGAAAAAAGGATCCAGGTTATCCTCCATGTCCTAACATTTAAGCCCCCAAGTCATATGTATGTTAAAGTACTTTGTGAGACCACACCTTGTTTTTCATGTCCTTTGCAAAGTAAGCAGCAACTGGACGTATACTTTTGTTCTTTGTGGTTCTTAATCTTCAGCCAACAGGTTTTCAGCTCAGAGGAATAGCCTAGATTTCTAGATTTTGAATTGTGGTAAGTTGTAGCTTTGAGATAATGCAGCACTGATCCTTCACAGTGTTTCGTGAGTCACACTGATATTGTTTCGGATATTTTAAAAACCAATATATTTGCTCCCTGCTGCATACCTTTAGTCAGGTGAAGTGCCTGCTTGTCACCTGAGCCCTTTAAAGCTGTCAGAGCTTGTTAATAATTAAGCACCATGATGACATTATGCTTGGGCTGGAAGCTAAAAAATGTTGCCAGGGTGCTTCACCACAGCTTTTATAGGCAAGTGTGGTGAAGAGAAAGCCAGAAACTGTGGTGGTGTTTGACAGACGGTGTGTGGGAAGACTGGGCAGTGGAACAAAGCTCTATAATGAGACCAAAATTAAGAAAAACCCGCAGCAGTGAAATAGTAGAACTGAGCCCTAAAAGGATTTGATCAAGAAAACAAAATGCATATCTACTTAGTATCCTTGGATTTGTAAAAGAAGAATCCATACATATATATTAAAGTCAATATTCTTTTTTTTTTTTCCTTATGCATTTTCAGTTTAGTGACTTATAACAGAATATCCATATACTAATACAATACGGGCCTAACAATATCATATTAATGTCACTTAATCGCATACTGCGGATCTTTTTTCCTCACAGCTCTGACAGCACGTAGCAGGTCATGGGACCCGTATGCAGGAGGGTCTACAGATTTGATTGGTCCCGTTTTGAAGGAGCTGTTCTGTGATTGGTGCTCTGTACTATCAATCACCCGTCCTGTTCTGTGATTGGTCATTCAGCCGTTTCCGCTTCGCTAGGTTTGAGCGTTTTTTTTCTTCGTCCTTCTTCCCGTTGAGCTAATCGGTTTCGGTCGACCGCTACACCTGCTCGCCGTTTCTCACCGCCATCCTCCCACAAGCACACACAACATGGATGATTTTGACATGCTGAACGCGCCCGCCGCCGGTAACGGTGTCGGCTCGGAGGAGGACCCCGCTGCCGCGTTCCTGGCCCAGCAGGAGAGCGAAATCGCGGGGATTGAAAACGACGAAGGCTTCAGCATCCTGGACAGTGGAGAGGTCCCCTCGTCGCTGGGAGACTCTGTCGGTGGGTGACTGCGGTGGTCGAGAGAGGCTGTCGGCCTCCGTTCACTGTTAACACCGTCTGTGTGGTTAGCGCTGCTCTTAACGGGGGTTTGTCTGTGTTGTTAGCGTTAAACTGCTCCGGTGAAACCTTCAGTCGGTTCCTATCTGGACTCTCTAGTTGAGGCTATTTCAGTGAGCTGGCTAACGTTAGCTGAGCTAGCAAATTAGCCAAGTTTTCTTCGCTAGCGTTAACCTGTTCAGCCGTCTCTACTGACACACGAACAGGTAGAGGGAAACTGAATGATGAGTCAGTGTTTTTAACATGACTGCCTGAGCTTTAGCTGGCCTTTCTACAATGAATGGAACTGATAACACCGGCCGTGCCGTCCTGGGCCGTGTCATTCATTGGTGCCTATGAACAGCGGTGTTTGCCAGCTAATCTCACAGCCACAAGAGGAAACTGATGAGTTTACTGACCTTTGGCCACGACTTCCTCAGTTCCTTGAAGCTGTAGCTCCGTTGTGGTTTAGCAATAGTAGTTGGTTAGAAGTGCTGACATGGTATATTATGAAATATGTGTGTATGGAAATCATGAGGATTCAACAGAAAAATAAAAGCTTCCCAGTTAGCCAAGGTCTGGTCGTTATAGAGTTTTTGTTGTTTTCTTCCCAAACGTATTTAATCATGTTTGTGGTGTTTGTCTGCTTGATTTCTAACAGCTGTTTTCTTTGTATCTTTGTAGATGGTGCTGTCAATGGAGAGCTTCATGTGGTAATAGTTCTTCACATTGTTTTTGTTGATTTAAATTGTGAAATGGCACAATTCTTATGTCCTCATGTTTATTCCTCTGTATTCTGTATGTGAATAAGAGGGCATGGAGAAGCTATTCGTGCAAATGAACACACGTCACAGTGCCCAAAGCAAACATCTTTGATCTTTTGATCTCTAAAGTAGAGCTTTTGCTTGCAGCCTCTTAAGAGCTGTGTGTTTTTGTCTCTGCCAACTCTTTATATGAATGTTGTCAGTACTCTGATGTTATTGTTTTGGTAAATGGCCAAACCATGCTGCTAAAGGTTCATTTGTTCCCACAATATTGCAGTGAATAAAAACATTAATATTGCCACGTGAGAAAGTCCCAAGTGAACTGATGTGGTTAATATACACAAAATATATATTTTTTTGTCTAATACAAAAATTCTGCAACTTTCTCATAAAAAAATATTTAAAAAAATATTTGTAATATTTGTGGGTACTATTTGTGGTGTGGAAAACACTTCTTTTCCTTTAGCACTGTAACATTGTGATTTCAGCGTTATCCGCAAAGGCTTGAATATCTGGCTGCTAGTTCCGGTCCAACTTCCTTTTCCTGTGCTGTCATTGCAGCATTGCTGCCTTTTGCACTGTCAGGGCTTTCTGGCTGAAGTTGGACAAATTTGGTTTTAACATACAGCTGACTTAAGAGAAGAGATATCACATGCATACACGAATCAGGGCAATAAACTGGCTACAACAGCTAATTACAAATTTACTTGCAACTTTCAGACGATAGTGGGAAAGATTAATAAATCAGGATGACAAACTGAATGTTTCTTTACCATATCTCCATTCATGAAGTAACGCAATTATCTCTGCCTGTGACCACCTCCTTTGTTTCTCAGGAAAGCAACGGTCCATCGGACGCCTATGCAGCAATCTCCAATGCAGACCGGCTGCAGGCCGAACCTGAAAGCCTACGCAAGTGGAGGGAGGAGCAAAGAGACAGGCTAGAGTTGCTAGGTAAGCAGTAGTATTTTTTTAGTATTTTTTTTTATAAGACAGGAAAGACTACTGCTTTCTGAGATCTCAGAAGTAAAGCTTGATATCCAAGTGTGAAGTGCTGGTGATTCAAAACTAGCAAGACTTTTTTCTTAGTATTTGCCCTGTGTGTAAAATGTGAGTTAAAGAACCCCCCTGTTAACAATCACTGCTAAACCAAATACAGTAATCCTGGGTTCTTCCTTCCCTAATTCTTAATTTTCCTCCAATGTGTCTTGCCCGTCATTCATATCATTCTTCACTGTTGTGTTTACCTTCGCATCTGCCTCTTCACTTCTTTATCGCTCCGCTCCTCTCCCTCCCCAGATGATAACTCTCGTAAGCAGGAGTTAGAGTGGAAGGAGAAAGCCAAGGTGGAGCTGGAAGAGTGGCACGCCAGGCAGAACGAGCAGCTGGAGAAAACCAAAACTAATAACAGGTACTGGCCTCATAGAGGGGTAAAAACAAGACACAAGGAACAATGGAAGTGAGGTTGGACTAATATTACCACAAAAGCTGATAATGATACGGAGGACTTACAACAATCCACAATCTTGGAATATTTAAAAAAGGTTTCCAGTTCTTAAATTATAGCGGCAGTCTTGACTTCTGCCAGAGGTGAGCATATGACCTAATACTAAGGGTTGGCTCAGTGTATGGTGTTACCAGCAAGAAAATAAATGGGTCCACCTAAGTCTTCAGGTTCCAGAAAGACATTCTGCCTCAGCATCAGTCAGTACTCCTATCTGTCATTAGCCCTAACCCTCCAGTTAGCGATTTATTTGTTGACACAAAGTTGTGGACAATAGCTTGAAATCCATCCTTTTTATTTAGGGGACAACCTGGGATGCTACAGTAGACGAGCAAAGAACCAGATCATCATGATTTGATACGCACACTCAATAGCGTTGCAAAAACAAAAAAAATACTACTGAGCCCTGTTGTGTGTCATGTACAGTTTGTTAGGTTGTTTCCCACAGCACTCAGTTTATTTAAGATTAGGCTAATAGAGTTCATGTAACAGCTAAAATGAGATCTTACTGTACAGTGGGTTTAGTCATGGTTGCTTGAAGTGTTTATATTATTATCTCAGATTTACCCAAACCTGGTCACAAACTGGCAGAGGTGGATGAATGACATTTGTGTGCCAGATTGAGCTAAAATTGTTGGATCTCCTGACAGTGGGCTGATGGGTTTAGTGACATACAGCCTACTGAGTGTGAGAGACGATCCACAGGAGCTGTTCACTGTGGGTTTGGCTCCTGCTATTTTTACTGCAGTACAATGGCTAGACCTGGGTGTTATCAAGGTATTATTGTATACCAGAGTATTTAGTAATCCCGAGGCCATGCTTTTCAGTACCATCAAAAGAAACTAATGCAGAGATGCTGTATTGAGGTAATGTATTTTAGTGCACAGTGTGTGCCACCAGAGGTCAGTCTCTACTAGTGGAATGGGCAGCTTAGCTGAGAAAGATGGCGCCTGCGGGTGGTGGTGACAGTGTTACAGAGCTAGGGAAGAAGAAAAACGCCTCTGCCCGTTTGGGAATATTTTGATTTAGATAAAGGTGAGCCAACCAACACTGATGAAGCTGTGTGCACATCATCTACATTCAGCCCACTGATACATTGGTATCCGCCACGGCAACAAGTGTCATTGGGTCCTTCATCAAGAATGTATGGAGGAAGGGTGCCAGTTTCTTATCTATTCATTATTCTGAATGGGCTATACGTATTTAAACACAGCAAGAGTTGTAAAAGTAGTCCAAGTACATATTAGATACAGCATTGTAGGGTAGACAGTGTCATACATGTCACAGTGACTTCTATCACTCAAACTTTTATGTGCTACTATTAAAGCCAGAACACTGATATAATTGTGTCCTCCACCTGCCGCCAGGTAACTCTCCATTTTGAATTGTTTCTCCTGCACTGTAATGTAGCTCTGCAGCCCTGTTAATTATAAATTACGTGCAGCCATGACACTACTGACCACCGTGTGTTTGGTGAAAAGGTGTTTTAGTCCTTTTCAGATGTTTTTTGTTTGGTAAAGATAAAGAACTGGCAGACAAATGTAAATGTCTGCGTTAGGGCTGCAACTAACATTTACTTTTTATCTATTTCTTCTTTTCCAAAACAATCACTTGGTTTACACTGTAAAGTGTATAGAAAGGACAGATCCCTATCCCTTAATTTATCAGAGATCAAATTAGTATATTAAAATTGCATTGATTAAATTGCAGTAAAAAAAAGTGTAAAACTGTTGGTGTGCTGTGGAGTTATTCTCTCACTTCTGTAATTAGTTTCAAATGTGAAGAGCTCATGCTGTGTGCTGGATCAATTCAGTATCATTCATACAGCATTAAATCATAACAGAAACGATCTCAGGACACTTTTCATGTAGAGCAGGACTCCAGACTGCACTCTTCACAATGTGGTCAGAGCACCAGATCACCAGAACCCCGTAATTAAAGATTTCAGGGGGTGGACGCAATCAGCTGAGTGCCTCCCTGAGCCTTTGAAACCTTGACATTGCATTGAGAAGCCCTTCCAAAACCTGAGCCTCTGATTATATGCCTTAGATTATTATTGTGTGGTAACCTATAATGCTTGTTTCCATTCTCTTCTCCCTTTTATCGCTGTCTCTCTTCTCTCCTGCCTTCTTGCTGCTCTGTCGTTTGGGCGGATGTTTGTCCAGGGTGCTGGATGAAGACTTCTACAAGCAGCCCTTCTCTGAGCTCATTGGTTATGTGTATGTTGCTCCAACTAACATCCTCCCTTTTCTTTTTCTTTTTGTTTCTTTTTATCTTTTTGCTTTTGTTTTCTCGATTGTCATCAACTCCCAGCATCCAACCATTGACACCATATTCATTAGTCAGGGCTTCCCCTTCTGTTGCCATTAGTTCCATCTTTAGTTTTTATTTGTCACTATTTGGATTTCTAATCCATACACGTCATCTAGCTTGTAGTTGTTTGTTTTTCTGTTTCAAATACAAACTGCAGTTTTCATTTTCACCTCATATATCTGCATGTCATTTGTGAGTGGATGCCTGTCATGATATTTTAGTAAAGAGAATGACTGCATGCCACTACACACATACACACCCACGCATACACACCACGCACACGCCACACACACAACACACACAACACAGCAGCACCACAACACACACTTACACTTACATCCATGGAAATCAAATTCATTCATTCATAACTGTGCCTGTGTTGATTTCTCCTCCATTATTCACATGTTTCCCTTCAAGTCATTTCAGCAAAACATTTTGCCAATACATTACACAAGTTTCTAACAATTAACACTTGCTTACATTAATTATATGAACTCTTCACAAAAAGCGTTTTGTTTCTACATAACACGTTTATAAATGTGATTTTGCCCCGAATCTATAAAATATTATTCAAGAGTAGGATGCTTATAGATTAGTTTGAAGCAGTTGTGTGGTTATAATTAGACTTGGGTGTTTTGTGTTGCCTTTTCTTTTTTTTTTTTTTTTAAACTGACTGTTTATAAAATCAGATGCCATTCCACTGTACACAGTGCAGAGTTGACATTGTTCTTGGGGTTGGTTCCTTCCTCTCTATCTGTACGAGTCAAACCTCTCTAAGTACCCTAACTTCCCGTAGCCACTCCCTTATGTAAAGACTAGGCCTATTTGAGGAATAGGATAGTGCCAACTAACCACACTACATGTGAAACTGAGTGAGAAGTTAGTTTTGCATGTGTGCAATGCCATTTGTGAAAGTTAGTGTATATTATTATCTGAACTCAGTAATCTTATATAGGTGATCTGTTGTTTTTTATTTTGTTTTTCCCATAGCCCTAAACAATAGCTGTTATGTGGCTTTCTGTAGGATTAAGAAACTCAGCTGACACCTTGTTAAGGATACTTATCTTTTTGCACAAAGTTCATTAATAGTTTTAAGACATGAATCACCTCTTCAGAAATACAGTTCTCAGGCTTTGTTTCATTTTGGTTGTGTGCAGGAAGCTTTTTACAGTTCAGAATATTGTTTTCATAAACCTACACATGACCTCATTGTCTCCACTGTCTATCTCCTCTCCTTCCTATTGCTAAATAAAATGTACCGCAAAGATTTTTATTAATAACACCACTGGTCATATCATGGCAACACAACTGCTTCAAACTGGACTGTGTTCATGCTTTATTAGAATGTTAGCTGCTCTGTAGCTACTGCTGTCCGACAGGATGACATGCTAATTTGCCCAGCTAGCTATCCAATAGCCTGAGCTGTGCAGCGTTTGGTTTTGCTATCAGATTAATTGGGCATATATGGCAATTAGCCTGCATTGTGGTGTGCACCTTTAGTTTTTTCTATCTTATTTATTTTAGACGGTCTTTGATTAGCTTGTTTGTTCAGCTGTTCTCCTTTTTTGAATATCAGCATGTATTTTATTGTATTTGTAACTTGACATTATTGTGCACATGCTCATGTTTGTCATGCCCCGAGGTAAAACGATTAGGGAACGAGATATTTTATTGTGTTTTTAAATAGTCTCTGTTTGATTGTTTTTTTTTTATTGTGCACACCTCAATGCAGCTTATGCACCGTATTGTAGCTTATATGTGGGATTTACCCTGCACTGTAGGACAGATTGATATTCACCCTCTGCAGTGTTTGGTGTAGAATGACACTGAATCACACCACTTCCTCCTCCTTTTATCTTGTTGGTTGGGAGTCTGTAATTCGGAACTCCAGGGGTCTCATTTATAAGCATTCAGTGAGAACAAATGGTGCTTGACTGCTGTGAATACCACTTCCCACACAAATGTTGAGAATAAAGAAAATTGAACAAATCCAATGAACGCATCTCTGCACAGTGCCTCCAAATATAATAGAAAGTTTCAAATGTATTGAAATCAGTTGTGTTAATGTCTTAGGACAGAACTGCTTGTAGGTGATGTTTTATAGATCAGAATGTTACAGATATGCTTGTGTTTGGACTTTTATAAATGAGACCCCAGGCCATAATGTCCTTCACTGTGTAACTGATATATATCTTTTACACTTAAACCAAAGGCTGCACACGAATCATTTTTCTAGAACACTTCTGAAGAAAAAAGGAAAAAAAAAAATGTTGCTTTTTGCATGCTTGCTTTCAACATCTGCATTTAGCTCATTTTCATTGTCTTTCATTTCGTCCCCTCCCCTCTCTCTCTCTCTTCTAAATTCTGACTTGTGAAACTGTTTCTCCCTGTTTTCTTTTCCTATGCACCTTAAAGCACACACATTAACCATCCTTGCTACCGCCTAGACCAGTTAAGTAAAAATAAAAAAAACCCAGAACCTCCAAATACTTTATATTTCTGGCAGGGGATAGATGAAGTTCTATGTGTGTGTGTGTTAGATAATTGTACATTGCACAGATACCCAATTTACTATCCCAACAGTTAAATCCACTGCCTAGATAGAGGTTTGTTATAATGTCCCTTCTGTGATGTTGTGGTCCTTCTAGTCCCTTTTGTGTATTTGTAGTGGATTGTGTCAGTGAATGTTCATTGGCTTCTCATCCCCATTTTGCTTTGTGTACTGTGTTGTAGTTAGTAGCTGAATTTGTGCTTGCAGGTTGGGTGGGGAATAGAAGAAAACCCTTGTAACTAGAAGTATCATGGCAGTGGAATTACTACTAAGTTTGTGGGTGGGGTGCAATGAGGGCTTACATTTGTTTAGCCATAATCTGTGGCTTGCCTCTCAAAATGTCTTGTGATAGTGGCACTGATCCATTTTAAGTTCCGTCTCTTCTTCTTTTCTTTTTCTTTTTTTACTTGTAGTGTAAATGTCCTTTTTTTTTTTTTTGATAGATGGTCTCAAAACACCCCAAACTTCACCAAGAACACATTAATTGATCTGTTCCACAATTATGACACCTGGAATCAAAGTAAACTCATTCTTTGCCACACCACCAAATAGCCTGCTTTTCAGCCGCAGCACAGTGCATGGCTAAGGCGCAGCAGTGCTTCCAGCTCTTTTGGGTTTGGTTAAAAAACAAAAAAAAAAAAAACTTGCCATTATTGTTTCTTTTCTAATCAAGGGCAAGTATATAGATGAGCTCATCATCCCTATACTTGAGTCTTGCCGAGTAAAGAGAACATTGTAAATATGCAACCACGGGCAAGTTGAGGCAAACTCTGTTCCCCCAGTTCTATACAGAACTGCATTTTTAACCAACCAAAAACGCTTATCGGACCTTACAGTTACTTTGTTTAGCTTCAGTTTGTTTTCTTTGTATTTCTCATCAGTGTTTTATATGTACCTCCCTTTTACTGTCGTGGAGAGTTGAAAATACAGGTGACTGTACTGTAATGTGTAAGCCGAGTTTGGGGGCATGCCACATGAAACTGTTGTAGCTTGTTCCTCTTTGTGGATTTAGAGACAGATGGATGTCCATTTCTGTGTGGTGGCTGGACTGTCCTGCCCTGAGGTAGACTCTGCTGAACCAACAAAGTCCCACCAAGCTAAAAAGGAAACCAATGAAGACCTGTCAGTCATTAGTTGTATTGTAGAGATGTATGCTCAGTAATGTAAGGGAGTATTTCTCAAATGTTGAGGTCAAACTAAATTTGAACTTTAATTGAATCTACCTGACAAATGCCTCAGTCATGCCAGAGTCGAGACTGTGGAGCCAGAGAGGCACGACTGAGTTTTTCCCACCAGAACTCTTTTGGTGATCAGCAGAGGTCTTTCTCTGGGCTGTACGTGTACTTTGGTATATCTTACCTCTTCCTTCACTGATTGTTTTCTATTCCGTGTCTTTCTCCTCTCCTGTGTTGCATGTAGGGCGGCTGAGGAGGCCATGGTTTCAGATCTGGATGAGAACAACCCAGGCACAGAGTGGGAGCGGGTTGCTCGGCTCTGCGACTTCAACCCCAAGTCCAGCAAGCAGGCCAAAGATGTGTCCCGCATGCGCTCCGTCCTCATCTCCCTGAAGCAGTCCCCGCTAGTCCGCTAGACAGCCACGGCTGCTCAGGGCGTCATTCCATATCATCCTGTATCACCACACACCAAACAACCCAACTACCGACGTCCCAGCATCTGTATTCTGAAGACAAGGGGACGTAGACCCCTTCTGTCGATATCTGTTTGCCATGCACAGCCCTGTGGAAGGACATAGCCAGTGGTCCTACCTTCATCTATCTCCTCCTGCCAGGGCTGTAGAGATTAACCTTGAAGCACCAGCTCACCATTTTCTGCCCCCTGAAAGGTTTTCACCTGCGTGCACCTCTTTCACAGACCAATCAAGACCTTGTAATTCCTCTTTCCTGTCGTTTAACATACTGAGCTCAAGGCCTGTTAGATAGACACACCAGGTCTCATGTCTGTGGTATTGTGTATCACCTGTGTAAGGGTGGTGAGTTGGGACACTAAAAGGGAAGGGTTGATTGTTTTGGGCGTACGGCTACACTACAACCTGCTTCAAATGTAACAAACAATATCATTCCCACGATGCTGTACTCTAACTCTTAACCTGTCAATCTTATGAATCCTCCTCTGACCTACGAGGTTTGATTGATGTTTAATTGTTTCATTCACCTTTTGCCCTTCAACACAACCTCGTGTTTTCCCATCTTCAATTTTTCTTTGTTTTCTTTTTAAGGACCAAACTCTTAAGACAAAACTCCAAATTCAGTGTGTGTACTTTGAACTGTGTGTAGAGCCTGCTTGTGGCATATTGTGTTAAATTTTCCAATCTATGCATTTCCTTTTGAAAAGCCTCTCCCCTCTCCAGACAGGAAACTGAACAGTCCAGTCATTACAATAAATGTGACCCGTTTGTGTGTGCGTTCGAACTCCAACAGTGTGTGTGTGTGTATGTACTCTATGCGTGTACCTATGTACATATACAGAAGGCAATATATATACAGTATATAAAACGTTTATGTCACTGAAATTAGAAGGTTGTGGTTTTAAAGAGAACTAGATATTAGCCAGCTGTTGCTAGACCATGCGTGTTCATTGTCCATTTGATTTCAATATCAGTAAAAAGTGAATGAAAGTTGTCGTCCTGTCTCATTCTTAAAACTGGATATTTAATGTTATTTTGTGTGTCAGGAATGTGGCTGCACAAGGTCAACTAAAAGTATATGAGTGTATTAAATATATGAATTTAATTGGAACCTTAAAACTACATTTATTTGTGCCCACAAGGAGGCAGAGTAACTCTTCAACAGGCTCACAGACACACAGCCATGACAATATTGCACACAATCTGGTAATCTGACGAATTTAAGTGTTTTTAAGCTGTCAATTAATTTAACCAACAAATTAATTAATTGCACAATTTGTTGTATAAGAGCACTATCCTCAGTGCCCTCTCCCCTTCATACAAAGTGTGTATTCTTCACACGATGCTTGTGGTAGATTATGAGATTTTCTCCCGCTGCAATTCAAATGATTTCAGTCCATCGCATTCTTCTATGTGAACTGAGGTTTTTAGCTATCCAAATAGCCAAAGCATTATTACCATGAAAAATTATGACATAGTAAGTCATTAATTCAGAAAACAGAGCAGATTGTTTTTCTCAAGTGACAGTTGGTAACCATCTAATTCTTATTTCCAATGCCTTCTTCAGTTAGCTAAGTTTGTCATTAATCAAACTCGAGACCAGTGTCAAGGCCACATTTGTTGAGTCCAAGTCTAATTGCACCTTTTGACAAAATACAAAAAACATTAACATATATGATATGATGCTTTAGAAACAAAAACAAACATTGTTCATTGTATTTTGAACATTTAAATTGTTGGTGATCCGTTTTACAGCCTTTTTATTTCGCCTTGTGGTAGGCAAACAGTTTTGTCAGTATAGTCTAATCTGGTCAATATAACATACAGATTGAAGAAACAATTAAATATTTTAATTTCCAGTCTAAATATATTAATGTAAATATCATTGTAGTAGGCACAAATGCAGATTACGAGAAACACAATGACAATTGAGGGGTTTACAGATAAATTATCTTTTTGTACACACACACACATACACACACAATATTAAATTAAACTATAAATTACGGTACAAAATATTAAGTAACTATAAGTTGCTTCAATACAATAAACACTCATAGTGAAATATTAATAACAGCATAAATGTTCTTACTGTAAGTTTTTCCAAATTAGCAAAGACTTCCCTGCCAACAACCTGATTAATGCAGCCATTGCACCCGCAGTGCACAGATAATCCACCAGAGGACAGATTGTCAGATTTGATAGGAACAGGTTTTCTGAGAGAGCAGTCAAGGCCTTTATCTAACTGGAAACACATCTCACACACCCTGAACAAGCTCAGCAATTACATTGATTCCAGTTTCTGAATGGCATTTTAAATGACAGTGTTACACAACACTTTTTGTTATCTCTATTGTAAGAACAGGCACTTGCCAATAACCAATGCCTTTTATTGCGTACACTCATGCCACGACAACATAGTACGCCATGGCAGACCACAGTTTTGGCACTGCCCATGAAGACCAGTTAGACTGGAACTGTATCCTGTCTCAAACCTCATGTCTCCCTCCTTTACTAAACAGTCCCAACCCAACTGTAAAGGAGAAAGAGAATAACACTGTGGAAACTGTGTGTGTTAATTAATATAAATTGTTATATCAAAAGATATCATCAGCTAGCAGGATTGTTTAGCAAGTGAGAAACCTGTGGGTGTGTTTTTGTATGTAAGTGTCTTTGGAGGCATCTGTGATTTTATTTTTTTGTCATGCTTTCTCAGGCGAGCCTAGTGTTGTAGTACTCGAGATCGGTCTTTTTTGAGGTTCTTGGTCTTGTCTCGGAATCGAGGGCATTTTTACTCGGTCTTGTCTCGGTCTCGGACTGGGCGGACTCGTTTTTCTTTAACGAGACTGGTCAAGACCACCACTGATAGGCTTTTTGTCCATGCCTTACTGATGATGAAATGAAAGGTTTATTGTGACTTGTCAGGTCAATTCAGTTTTGATTTTCAAGAAGTGAAACACAACAA